TTTTCTTGCAGTACTTTAAAGGTCTTCTTGCACTGTTTTCTTATTGCATTGTGTCCTCTGAGAACTGTGCTGCTATTCTAATCTTTGTTCTGGTATATGCAACATGTCTTTTTTTCTGTAAGTGCTTTTAAGATTTTTCTTTGTTACTGGTTTTGAGCAATGTTATTATGATGTGCCTCAGTGTAGTTTTCTTCCTGCTTCCTGAGCTCAGTGTTCATTAAGGTTTTTATATTTGTGATTTACTGTTACCAAATTTAGAAATATTTGGCCATCATTTCTTCAGTTTTAACTCCTCCTCCCCCAAACTCCTTCTTGGATTCCAAATACATGTGTGTTAGGCTGCTTGCAGTTATCCTATGGATCACTGATTTTTTTTAAATTTTGACTTTATTCTTTACTTTGTTTCATTTGGTTAATTTCTCTTAGTATGTCTTCAAGTTTATTAATCTTTTCTTTAGTAATATTCAATCTGGTATTAGTCTTATTTAGTATATTTTTCATCTCAGACTTTAATAGTTCTTATCTCTAGAGGTTCAATTTGGGTGTTTTTTAAATGTCTCCCTTGTCTTTTGAACATATAGAAATCTAGCTATAACTGTTGTTAATGTTCTTAACTGTCTTATGTCAATTCTAGTTTGGTTTTAACTGATTGATTTTTCTATTCATTATGGGTGTGTGTGTGTATATATGTATGTATATATATATAGCTTCTTTGCATACCTGATTATTTTTTATTGGCTGCCAGACATTGTGAACTTTAATATGCTGGATATTTTGGATTTTTATAAACATTTTTGCTTGGGGCACAGTTAAGTTTTCTGTAAACAGTTTGATCCTTTTTCTAGTCTGCTTTGTGGAAGACAGCATCATTCCTGACTTTGGTGATGTCTGGTTATGGTTTTTGTAATCTTTTCTGGTGGTTTTGCTCCAGTCTTGTATGGTTTCTAACATGTGTGCTTTGATCACTACACTGTGGAACACTAGAGTGGTACCCTCTGCTGATCTCTGTAGTTCTCTTTGTATGCCCCTCTTTATTCTCCAGTAGTGTCATGCAAACTCTAGATATCTTATTCTCCCCATACTCTCAGGTTTGTCTCTTCGTTTCAGAAAATCTGCTCGGCTTTTCCTGGGTACTTCGCTGTGGCCTGGAAACTCCCTCAAGGCTGTAAGATACAGGGATCACCTCATTTGTTTTCTGTCTTAGTTCTTTTTACTTGATAGTGAGGGTCTTGAAAACTGATGTTTCATATATTCTGTTTGTGTTTTCAGGTGGTAGGGTGAATCTGATCCCTGTTACTCTATTATAGATAATAGTGAAAGTATTTATATGTGTTTTGACCATCTTTCCTTCAAAGTATTCCTGGGTATTCATATTTATTTATTTATTTATTTAAGCAGGCCTGGGCTGGGTTCTAACTCACCACCCCCAGTGCACGGGGCTGGCGCTCTAACCACTAAACTATAAGCACCAAACCCTGAATATTCTTTTCAATCAGATTTTACATTTAATTCAAATAAACTTATTTCTTTTTCTGCATCCTTCTTCCATCTTCCTCAGCTCATTTTGGATGACTCAAGGCCATCAAGTTTGAGAACTTTTCCACTACTAGTAATCATTTTTAACCAATTTTCCCACATTCCTCTCATGATTAGTTTTAAATACTGTATTTATAGGCTGACTAGGATCAGAGATGTAGTTTGATGAGTATGTTAAGAGTTTTTCTAGGAGATAGTTGTTGTACTTTGTTTCCTTATCTATCAGCTAGATATTTTTAGTTCCAGCTATATTTCTCATTTCATATAGAATGCTGAGTGCTAGGCAGAAAGTGAGTACAATATTGTTTTTCACAGTTTATATTCTAGCAGAGGAGATAGAACAAGATCTCACAGAATGTTGTCAAAAAGGTTAAACCTTTTTAGTACACTAGATTTTTAGAGATGAGAGAAAATTATTTCTTTTAATATACTTTTTAATATACTGGGAATGCTTCTTCTATTATACTGATACTGAACCTGGCCTTTGAAAATGAATTCATCTTAAAAATAGAAATTAGTTACAAGAGAGGATATCATTTATAACAGCCAAGTAAATTATATAGGCACATGCTTAAAGAGAAATGTTCAGAATTTGTATGAGAAGAACTATAAAAATGTTCAAAGGCACAAACAGACTTGAACAAATGTAAAGATATAGTGCGTGCTAGATAGGAAGACTCCCCCTTCATAAAGATGCCAGTTTTTCTAAAATACAGTAGAACCTCCATGGTTGATCATCTCCACACGTTGACCACCTCCTTAAGTTGATCTAATTTTCATAGACCAGACATATACCACATATACGTATCAGTATAATATGCCTAGTTTTTTATGTTAATCACTTCTGTATATTGACTGATTTGTGATAGTCTCTTTGGTGGCCAGCTTACAGAGGTCTACTATAATTTGTAAGTTTAGCATGATCCCAATGAAAATGCCATCAGATTTTCCTTCTAGGGCTAAACAGATTATAAAGTTCATTTGTAAGAACAGGCAAGGAAAAATAGCTAAGAAAATTCAGAAAGGGAAGAATAATAAGGATGGCTAGTCCTGCTACATATTACAACATAATAGAAACCTTTATGATTCAAATAATGTGGTATAGGTATAAGAATAGACAGATCAGTTAAAGAGAATGGAAAATAGAGAAATAAACTCAATTGTATATGGAAATTTAGTGTGTAATAAAGGCATCTTCCTATTATAAATGGAGAAAATAAGGATTTTTTTTTCTGTTTGTTTGTTTAGAGACAAGATTTTGGTCTGTCACCCTACCTGGAGTACAGTGGTGTGATCACATCTCACTGCAACCTTGAACTCCTAGGCTCAAGTGATCCTCTCACCTCAACCTCCCTAGTAGCTGGGACTACAGGCACACACCGTCATACCTAACTAATTAATTTTTATTTTTATTTCTTTTGTAGAGACGGAGTCTTGTTTCCCAGGCTAGTCTTGGACTCCTGGCCTCAAGCACTCTTCTCACCTCACTGGGAAATGCTGGGATTATAGGCATGAACACTGACCCAACCTGGAATTTTTAATACATGGTGTTTGTGATATTGACATAATTAGAAAAAAATAGGTTTGAATCAATTCTCATACTGTATGACAGCATGTCAATATAGAAAAGAATACTATACTAACAACTAGAAGAAAACATGGGCAAATTATGACCTATTTATGGGAAAACCTTTTTGATGAATCAATCCACAAACTAAAAAACATTGATAAGCATGATTACATATGTATGTGTGTACAAGTATACATGTTTATGTACATACCCTCACAGTATATATGTATATACAGGATGACCATAAAGTTCATGTGCAATTTAAAATATTGTACAATTTAAAATTGCACACGAACTTTATGGCCACCCTGTATATGTATATACATGCACACACACACACTCTTTTATGTAGAAGAAAACACCATAATCAAAAAGACAAATGAGAAACTAAGAATGTTTGCCTTTTATATCATGGGCAGTCAATTAATCTGAGAAATATATAGAGTGTTTCCAAAACTGGAGAAGAGATAGACCAACAGTTTTATAAGAAGATGGGTAGGAGATAATAAACAGAAAATTCATAGAAACAAATATAGATTGGTTTTATATGAAAAGGAGCCCAACCTTACTTATAAGAGAGATATAAATTAAAACAACACAATATATCATTTCTTTCCTATCACGTTGGCAGAAGCTCATCATTTAGATAACATTTTGTTGGTTATAGAAACAGGTACTCTCATACATTGCTATTAGAAATGTGAAATGGTATAGATTTAGAGAGAAATTTGGCAATATAAGCAAAATTATGTGTATGTACCTTTTGACCCAGTTGTTCTATTTTCAGGAATCTATCTTACAGATGTATACTGATAAATATCTGAGAAATATGTGTCTTCAAAGTTATTGTAACACTATTTCTGATAGCAAAAGATGAAACAATTCAAATCCCAGTTTTAATAAAACCATAAAAAAATTGTGACCATTGGAGAAATTTGAACACTGAGCAAGTAGTTGCAAATGTCTGCAGTTAATGATATTAATTATATATAATAATGTTATTATGGTTATGTTAAAAAAGAAGCACCTACAATCCATTACCAATGCTGTTTTTTTTTTAATGCTTGATCCATCTTTAACCAGTGAGAGCCCCTTGAAGTTAACTCCTGAATCCTTCTGCCACATCTTTTAGAAATCATTACTTAAACATTTATGTATGAAATTATATGATTAGAATTTATTTCAAAATAATCCAAAGGACAGGGAAGTGGGGAGGTAGGGATGAAATAAGATTTATAAAGAGGTGATAATAGTTTAGTTGATTGGGATTTCCTTATGTTTAAAATTTCCTGTAAAAAATGTATGGAGTTTAAGGCAGGCATAAATGAAGAGAGTGCATTTGGAACAAAGGTGTTGAGATCAAGGAAGGTAGGCAATTCTTAAACAGCTTTGTGTTTATGGTAAATATAAAATAGACTGTCTTTGTTTGCACTGTATTAGTATAATTCTAAGGATTAAAATAACTCATAAAATATGCAGGCTTTTGTTTATTGGTCCCATTATAGGGCCTTTAGATTACCAAAATAATTGATTGGGAGGAAGTAAAATTTTTGTCAAACTTTTTATGAATGTCATCTTTTCTTTCAAATTTTGCTTGGACATAGTTATAAGTATATCAGGTAAAAGAGAAAATTGAGAATGAAATTTTCCTATTTTTAAAACATTCTTTTAAACTTTGGGATTGTTTATTTAGCAATTTTTAAGCATGTTGTTTTAATAACTTATAAAGATCCTAGGTTATGCAAAATTACATATGGGAATAAAAATCTGTCTTCCTCATAAAAATTTTTACTTCAGAGCTCTTATTATGTCTTAGCAAAAGATAACATGGTTTATTTAGCGATATCTGATGACATTAAGCATGATCATTTTAACTTTGTTTTCTATCAACAGGTTAATATTAAAATTGGAAGTTTGTATATTTTGTTGGATATTGGAAATTGAATGTAATGGCTACAGAATTTATAAAGAGTTGCTGCAGAGGATGTTTCTATGGTGAAAAAGAAAAGCACAATTGTGAGTTTTGTTTTGTCTTCAGTAACATTTATTTAGTGCCTTCTTTGTTTGTGGCATTTTGTAATACAAAGAAACATGAGGCATGTTTCCTTACTTCAGGGGGGAAGGCAGAAACAAAAGTCACACTAGATAAGTATTCCAGAACTCCAAGTACCCTGGAGCACGGGTAGAAAGAGATGAATTCAACCCAGGTGACACCGTGAGACAGCTGAAGGAAGGAACAGAAGGTGAAAAGTGTACTTGAGCATTACAGGAGGATGGAATAGGAAAGGCAAAGGCAAGGAGAGAAAAATTTGTTGGGAGGACAACATACTGTGACAAATGTTTTCATTTAAATAAAGATTTCCAATTTATGTTTGCTAGGACTCAAGAATAGTTTGTGTATCAGGAATTTCTTCTAAAATGATTATATAAGTACGTACCATAGCATGTTAGGTTTAGATTATTATAGGTAATATATATGCGTATTTGTGACTTTTTTCTTTCCTATTTTTCTTATTTGCAGTTTCAGTAGAAAGAGACTTTAAAACAGCAGTCTCAAATAGTCAAAATACTACCGTGTGTGTACTTCCATTTACATCTGTTTCTGTAAAGCCTCAGGTTGGCTGTACTGAAGATTATTTGCTTTCCAAATTACCTTCTGATGGCAAAGAAGTACCATTTGTGGTGCCCAAGTTTAGGTTATCTTATATTCAGCCCAGGACCCAAGCAACTCCTTCTCATCTGGAAGAACTTGAAGGTAAACAATAAAATGGCAGGATTTCAATGTCAATATCTATCACTTAAATACTGTTATTACAGTTATCTTGCTCCACTATATCTTTAATACAAAATTTATATAAAAATTTTATATTTTGCTTTTTATATGTTTCGCACTTTCTGTAGCAGGACTTAATGTATAGTATTTTCCAAAGGTTCCATTTTGAAATCTGATCGCAATGCAACATATTGAGTGTGGCTTTGGGCTTTTTGAAAGGAATAATATGTAATCAGCTCTCCATATGTATGGATTCAGCATTTGTGATTTCAACCAACTGTAGATCAAAAGTATTGGGGGGAAAATTGATGATTACATCTGTTTCTAACATGTACAGACTGTTTTTCTGGTCATTATTCCCCAAACAATAGAATGTAACTATTTACATAGCATTTATATTATGTTTGGTATTATAAATAATCTAAAGATGATTTAAAGTATATGGGGAGATGTGCATAGGTAATATGCAAATACTGCATCATTTTATATAAGGGACTTGAGCATTGTGGATTTTGGCATTTGGGGGTTCCTGGAACCAATCACTCATGGATACCAAGGGATGATTATGACAAGATAATTATTATCCTTCACATATCTAGAAAGAAAAAGTAATTATTTTATATTTGGCCTATAAACATAGAAAACATGTCATTTCTTATTTACTGTTTTCTCAATATTTCAATGAGAAAGAAGGAAACAATCAAACGACCCTTCTTCACCAGTCTGTATTTCCTAGTCTAAATAGCTACTTCAATAAGGTAGATTCATTGGCCGAATTTAGTTAATGGAGAGGTTGATGAACTAATGAAGATTAAATAACATATAGCTCTTGTTTTTAAAAAAATAATTTGTGCTAGTTCACTGAAATGCTGTCAGTCCTTTAAGGGCTTTTTTCTCTCACAATTTTTTTGAGAAAAATGTCATACATACAGGAAAGTTGAAAGAATGTAACAGTAAATATCTATATGCTTCTGGGATTTCAATTACGCGTATGTTGGACCTTTTGATTTTGTTCTATGGGTCACTGAGGCTATTCATATTTTCAATCTTTTTTTCTCTCTCTTCTTTAAATTTGATAATATTGATCTATTTTTAAGTTTACTGTCTTTTTCCTGTTTTCTTCATTCTACTGTTAAGCCTATCTAGTGAATTTTTTATTTTAGACATTTCATTTTTCAGTTCTAGAATTTACATTTGGTTCTTTTTAAATAGTTTTTCTTTCTCTGATGCAATTTTGTATTTTTATATTATTATAAACTTATTTTCTTTTATGTCTTTTGAAATTTGAAATCTTTGCTAATTTTAACATCTATGTCATCTAGATTTGGATTCTGTGGATTACCTTTTTTGTTGAAAACGGGTCACATACTACAGCTTCTGTATCTTGGGTGATGATGGCTCTTGAGTGGTAGTTTATAGATTAGCCAGATATTTGAGCAGACTATTCATAGAATTTTGGACTCTTTCCAGGATTCTCACCTTAATTTTCAGCATCTCTGGTTTTCCTGAAGTCTGCCCTCTGGTTCTTCAGGCCAAAAGTGCTCTGGGTTTTCTGTTGGAGCTTTATGTCATGGACCCTATGTCATGCCAACTTTGACCTGCACTCAGACTCAAAGACATCAAAGTTAGATAATCCACTTTATGTCAGTGCCTTTTTTCTAAAACTCAATTTCTTTATAGAATCTGCACCACTTCTCTTTACTCTTCAGAGACTTCAGGATTTTTACTTGTTTGTTTTATTTTATTTTTGGCCTACAGTTTATTGTTATCTACAAAAGACTTGGGTCTGGTAGGAGGGATTTCTTTTCTCTCTCTCTCTTTCTCTCCTTCACTCTCTCTTTCTTTTTTAATTTCTTCTTCTTCTTTTTTTTTTTTTTTGAGATAGAGTCTCACTATGTCACCCTTGGTAGAGTGCTGTGGCATCACAGCTCACAGCAACCACAGACTCTTGGGTTGAAGCGATCCTCTTGCCTCAGTCTCCCAAGTAGCTGGTACTACAGCCTCCTGGCACATGCCTGGCTACTTTTTAGAAATGGAGTCTCGTTCTTGCTCGGGGTGGTCTCGAACTTGTGAGCTCAGGCAATCCACCTGCCTTGAGTGTGTACTTAGGTTATACTACATTTATAAAAACAATTTTTCTGCTGATTACTGTGGCTTATGCCTGTAATCCCAATACTTTGGGAAGCTGAGGTGAGAGGATCACTTGAGGCCAGGAGTTCAAGACCAGTTTGGGCGACACAATGAGACCCTCATCTCTTAAAAAAAAAATTAAATTAAATTGACTTGGTGAGGCATATCTGTAGTCCTCACTACTTGGGAGGGAGAGGGTGGGAGGATCACTTGATCCCAGGACCTCAAGGTTGCAGTGAGCTGGTATCATATCACTATGCTTCAGCCTGTGCAACAGAGACCCTATCTCTAAAAGTAAATTTAAATTTATTTAAAAATGAAAGTATTTTTATTTCTTCAATAATAAATTAATCTAACTTTTTAATATTTTTCAACTTTTTGACTCTTTTGTGATAATACTTAGTTTAAAACACAAACACATAGAGCAGTTGTCCAAAAATTCTTTCTTTCCTTACATCCTTATTTTATAAGCTTTTTTCTAACATTTTAACTTTTTATGTCTATATAATGTTCCTGATGTGATTATTAACTTTTGGGGACTAGCCCCAAATAGTTGTTTTCTAACTCAACTATTTTTTAAATTATGTTAATGAGACTGATTTATTCTTAGTATTATTAGTCTAAGTTATTTACGATCTTAACACAAATAGACTATGGGACAGGGAATACAGCCTAGGAGTAGGATATCAAAGTAGACCTCAATTAGACTATGTACGTAAATTCTGGGAGTGGTGATTGAATCTCCTGGGAAGTTTTGTGTGTAGATGGGCTGGTGCTTTTGTCCATATTGAGGTGACAGAAGAAAGGAGATATTTTTTTCATTTTTTTTCTTGAGAGACTTTTTCTTAGTATCTTAAGCCAATTTATATATAGGATTCTTCTTTCTTTTTCTTACTGATTTATAGGGATTCCTCATATATTCTGGATATGAGCCCTTTGTTAGTTATGTTTGTTTCACATATCTTCTCCCACTTTAAGGGTTACCTTTGCGTTATCTTAAATAGTCTTTTGACAAATATAAATTTTAATCTACTGCAGTTTATCACAATGTTTCTATGATTAGTGCTTTACAGAAAGCATTTCCATTTAAGAAGTGTTTCCCTCTCCTAAGTTCATAAAAAATTTCTTATAAGTTAACTTAAATATGGAACCTTTATTGATTTGCCTTAACATTTAATTTAGAACTATAATCCCATGGAATTAATTTTTGTGAATGTGTTTGGTTGTTTTAAGTATTATTTTTTTTGTATCAATATCTAGTTTGTTTTATCACTGTTTAATGAAAAGGCCATCCTTTCTTCACTGCTGCACAGAACTACTTTAATTATAAATTTAGTGTCTTTAAAGTGGATCTCTATTTCTGGTCCTTTTGTTTTCCATTGATATATTTTTCTACAATTGTGCTTTTGTTCTATTCTTAATACGTTTTAGAACAAATCTTTCAGTCTTGCTTTTTGTTTTAAAGATTATCTTTTTGGTTATTCTTGGTCCGTAGTGTTTTCATATAAATATTTTTTGCTTATCTTTTGCTATTTGATTTCCAACTTAATTGCATTGTGTTAAGAAGACATACCTTGTATGATTTCAAGCCTTCATATTTGAGAGTTTCCCAATGTATCTCAATGCAAATTTTTATAAATGTTCTATGTCTTCTTGTAAATGGCATATCTCAAAAAAAGCAATCTTTTTATTTAAGAGATATTCTCTATGTAAGTAGAAAAATAAGAAGAAAGTTAGATCATGATATAAAATTGTCTATGTGGCTAAGAAAAATGCCCCAAATGTACCAGATTGTCTTGAGAGCAGGTATCACAGCTAATCTTTGGCATAATTCACACACAACTCCATAAATGTGCCCTGATATTTTTAGCTATGAAAGGTGTGTGATGTAGTGTTACTTCAGACAAAATGTTTTTTTTTTCTTTTGCCTTGTATGTAACAGCCATTGACCAGTAATTCCAGGAAAAGGATGTTGTAAAACTTGAGAATCATTTGCTTTCAGGATCTGCCAGAGCATCTTTTGGAGATCGAAAGGTAGAACTTTCCAATTCATTCCAGCATGGGCCCAGCTATGATGTATATAACCCATTCTATATTTATCAGCATATTTCACCTGATTTGAATCGGCGCTTTCCTCCTCGTTCAGAAGCAACAAGACTGTATGGATCAGGTATAAACTTTTTTTATGTTTTTCCTTTTTTTGTGTTTCTCTTTAACAAATTTAGAAAGCAAATTAAATCTAAGACTCTGGAAGAAATGATTCTGCTTATTAAAGCAATTTAAAAATATGAAGAAAGTAGACTTTATATCATGATTTGTAGTATTTTGTAATATAAAAATGGGAAGATTAATGAATTATGTCTATTGGTAGTTCAGTTTTATTTTTCCTTTTTTGAAAGAAATTTTGGTTCAAGAGATCTGTTGTACAGGATGGTGACTATAGTTAACTTTGATATATTGTATTCATGAAAAAGGCCAAGAGGGAATATTAAATGTTCTCATCACTAAAAAATGATAACTGTGTGAGTTAATGCATTTGTTAATTAGCTAGCTTTAACCATTCCACAGTATATGTTTACATTATTTAAACTACAGAGGTATCCGACCTGCAGTCTGTGGGCCACATGCTGATTTTGTAAGGACTTTTTTTGGTTATCTATTGTGTCAGATCTCATGAAAATTATGCAGGGATTATTTTTTTTGCTAGTCAGCTTTCCTTAGTGTTTGTATATTTACTGTTAGTCTTCCAATGAACAGCACAAAAGAGAAAAGATTGGACACCCCTGCAAATTTAAAACATGTACATGATATGTACGATAAAAAAGGTTTTGTTTTCAGGGTTATTTTGAATGCATTTTAAATATGTCATTTATCTATACCTAAATTCTATAATAGGTAGTTATGATATTTTTCTTTCCTGCTCTCTAGTGCAAATCATGAATTTAAAAACCCACAATGTGATTAGAAATATAAACAAAGAAAATAGAAAAGTTGTATAACTTTTTAAGTTTCATATTTGAGACTGTATCAATTATAGTCTGCCATGTACATGTCTGATTCATGAAATTCTCACCATTTTCCTGGAAATAAAGAAGAAATATTTATTTAAGAGCCTGTTTTATGCTCACCACTGTGGTAGAATACACAATTGGTATACAAAGTTCCTTGCTTCAGGGATCTTACTGCTTAGGAGAGAAACCAAAAATATAGACAGGATACACAGGAGCATATGGAAGTCAGTATTGATTTTTTAAAATAATAGTGCTTATTAAATAGTAGCTGAATTGGGTTTAGCACAGAGTACTTAGACTTTTTTTTTTTTTTCAGATCAAGGAGAGGGAAATATAAGGAAGAAAATGAATATTCCCTGTTTGATATTTGATGTGGATGTGAAAATATGTTAATTTATGTTGATTTTCATTTCAAATAAAAGTAAAATAATTGAAAATTTTTTTTAAATTTTCACTAGAAAACTATTTCTTTGTAGATTGGCATATAATATGATACATTCTTATAGTAATATGTTTTATGGTAATTAAGTAGAATTGCAGTGTTTCTTTTCTTTATTATAAAGGAAGTACTTTTCTCATGTCCCTTTGTAGTTTGTGATTTAAGGACCAGCAAATGTCCCAGTTCTCCTGGGCTAAGCAAATCTATGTTTGATCTGACAAGTTCATCTCAGCGATTCATCCAGGTAAACTAGTTATATAAATTTAATTAATATAATAATTTATTTTTAAATTAAAAGTTTAGAAATGTATGAATTAGGAACAGTATGTTGTATATGTTTTATAGGTTTATCTGTTCTTGTAACTGAAGAATAAATACTTGAAATTTCCTATATTAGGAAGTTATCATTTGTAGTTTTTCTTTCTTTGTTTTTTATGAATTTTATATTTCTTAGTTGGTACATGTTCAGGGGATCTTGAGACAGTTGGTATTTAAAATAGTGTTATTAAAATTGCTTATTAGTTTAACGTTATTGAACATAACCAGCAAGTTTTTAAAGATTGGTATTTCTACTGAGATGTAGGACTTTAATAAAACCTGTCCCTAGTTTTTGAAATGGAGTTGAGAATTTTTCTTTAATATCTTAAAAAATGTTTCTGTTTTAGTTCAAGTAAACTGTGGTCATTTAAAATTAGAAAATAGAGATAAGCAAAGTAAAAAGAGAAATTACCTGTATTTTCTATAACTGTGAGTAAAAGCACTGTGAAAATATTGTAATACATACTTTTTTCCATCTGAATGTATATACATATGCTTTATAAAATGGGAATATATTTTAAATAATTCTTAATAATCCTCACTTGAATTGAGTTTTTATAAAGTTCTTTATAGCAACAACTCTTTAATATATATCAGAATTACTTGGAGAGTTTATTAAAATACAAACTACCAGGCCTTACCCCAGAGTTTTTGATTCAGTATCCCTGCAATGGGGCCTAATTTTATATTTCTACCAAGTTCCCAAGTGATGTTGATGAGGCTGGTCCAGAGGAATTATAGTTAGATAATTGCTGCTTTGCAGGTTTTTAGGTAATAGAGTAATTCAAAATATATTCTGATTATCATTAATGCTTTCATGTATGAGACTTAAGCAGTAATATCATTCTCTTTATTACAAAACCAAACCCCAAACAACAGCTTTCCAATATATTAGCTTGTAAGATACTTAAAATTCTTCTGATAATACATGCAAAAAGCCCTCCTCCCCCCCACACACTTTACTACCTACAAGTGGGAAATTCTGACCAGTAACACTGTCAAAATGGTTAGCACACAATTTAATGCAAGCGTCGGTATTGAGGCATAACTATCAGACTCCTTTAAGTTTCATATGCTATTTCTAACTAAAGAAGAATTTTATTTATAGAGACATGATTCATTGTCCAGTGTACCCAGTAGTTCTTCTTCAAGGAAAAATTCTCAGGGGAGTAACAGAAGCCTAGGTAAGGAATAAAGAAAGTATTCTTTTTTAATACTTTAAGAGAGTTGTTTCTACTTGATAGTAATTTGAGAATTTATATGATAAGGTAAAAAATAACTCCAGATGATTGTATCTACATTAGCAGCATTATCAGCATACTAATATGGATACTCAGATCAGATGGCCTATTTTTCATTGTTCTGATATGAATAAATCTTTTAATAATGAGGTAGTTAAATATCTTTTGTTTGTTTTAAAGTATGTAAGTGAAAGAACTACTTCCAGAAGCATCAGTATTGAGGCCATGTAAATGTTATTTGGGCAGGTTTTTCTTAGTTTTAATTTAAATCCCTCACATTGCAATTGTGTTGAGTTTTTAAACCATGTGCTTTTTAAAGTATAGCTTACTAGTACTTCAATAAAAACATTGAAGTGTGGTTTTTGTCTTATTAAATTGAGAGCTTTACAAAATGTTTGTGCATTTTTCAGTTGTGCTCTTAAAATTGGATTGTATCAGAGCTTAATTCTTTTTAAAGGATTTCATGGTATTTCAAACATCTTTGTCCTTTTACAATTCAGATACAATTACTCTGTCAGGAGATGAAAGAGATTTGGGGAGATTGAATGTGAAATTATTTTATAATTCTTCAGTAGAGCAGATCTGGATCACAGTTTTACAGGTAAATTAGTATAGTTGATACCAACTTTTATCACAAAATTGAATAGTTAGATATTATAGGCATTTACTGTTGCCTTTTTTTGGGGAATGGGCCAATATCATTTTTGGACTTTGGGATTCTGTAGTATTTCACAGAAAATAGTATTTAATAAAGCATTCAAAAAATAAATCTATTTTATGACGGAAGTATGTGTGTGCTTTTAACTTCAAGAAGGTAGTTGATATGACCTGTAGAATATTAAACATCAAAATTTATTTAATATGAATAAAACATGAGATCTCAGTAGAGACTAAAGTTTTTTTTTATAGTTTTTATTTTAAAGCACTAAATCAAGATATAATCAAATATTTGTATTGTCAGAATCCTCTGTAAAATTCAAATTTTATTTTTAATTTTCTTAGTGTAGAGATTTAAGTTGGCCCTCAGTTTATGGAGAAACTCCTACTATTTATGTAAAAGGAATATTGACATTGCCCAAACCAGTACATTTCAAGTCTTCAGCCAAGGAAGGTTCCAATGTAAGTGCTGCTGTTTGTATTTTAATTTCTTCTCTATTTTTCTCACGTTTGTTACTTTTATTCATGTAAACAATCACAGTAAGAAAGTGTTTTATTTTGGGAAACTATAAACTATGTGCCTTTGCTTTTTAAAGAAAATTTTGAGTTTCAAAAATATTTGGTAACTAAGAAAATGCCTTGAAGGCTATGTTAACCAGTTTGATGAAAATATTTCAAATTGTGTATAAAACCAGCACATTGTACCCCATGATTACATTAATGCACACAGCTATGATTTAATAAAAAAATTTGATATTTCATTGTCCAATATTAAGATGCATTTAAAAATAAAATTGTTATTACTAAAATATGTAGAAGATGAACAATATTTAAGAAACCTATTTATTTCTCCTATATGAAAGGAAATAAATTTTGTCTTTTTTTTTTTTTTAACCATATCCCATTTTAGCTTTGAAAAATAATTGCATGAGTACAATTGATTTCTTTTGAATACTTCCTATTAGCAACTGGGAGACTTATGATCCTGAATTTGATTTTATAGATTCTAGATTTCACATTAATTTAAATACATGTTAATTTTTAACCCATTTGATATGGGTTAAAGGATTATTATTTTTATGCAAATGAAAAAGCATCTTCTAAAAGATATATCATTCAAATGACTAATAAACATATAAAAATTTACTCTATTAATCATAAAAATACAAATTTAAATTATATATTGCTTTTCCTTCCTTCATCATTCAATTAGGAAAAATTTTATACTCTAGAACATACAACTTTTTAGAAATTATTTTAACAATCCACAGAAAAACTTGGAAATATTTTCATACAGTAATCCTGTTTGGAAATGATTCCACAGAAATAATCTAAAATGTAAACAAAAAATATTTAAATTATTTTTGGCAGTTTTTTTCATAGTGGAAAAATTGAAAACAATCTAAATGTCTCATATAGAGGAAGGTTTGAGAAACCTGATGGTATACTAATATGTTTTCTAGGGTTGCCATAACAAAGTACTGTACTACAAACTAGGTGATTGAAATAACAGAAATTTACCTTTTATAGCTTTGGAGGAAGTCCACAAGTACCAGCAATGCTGGTTTCTTTTCTCCCAACTTGAGTGATGGCCAGCTGTCCTTGATATTACTTGGCTTATAGATCGCTGCAGTCTCTGCTTCCATATTGACATGGCATTCTACTTGTGTCTGTGTTTTCATATGGCCATCTTCTTACGAGGATTCCTTCTGGTCATACTGGATTAAGAAGAAGTTCACCTTACTCCAGTATTACCTCTTCTTAACTTCATTAATTACATCTATAGCGATCCTGTTTGTAAATGAGGTCACTTTCTGAGGTAGTGGCAGTTAAGACTTCAGCCATATCTATTTTGGGGGATACAATTCAACCCATAACATTATGTGATAGAATATTAGGCAGCTATGAAAAGTAATGGTTAGGAAGAACTTCTAAGGACATAAAAAATGTTCTTAATTACTAAGAAGTCAGTAGTAAAATGGGCATATATGTATTAGGATCTTACTTTATGAAAATATACATTATAGAAATTCTAGATGGAAATACATCTTAGCTCTGGTTATAATCCTGACACTCAAAGATGAGTACTTTCTGAATTAAGCAGTTTACTTTTTGGTCTTCAAATAAAACTAAGTTAACTTAGGAAAAGTTATGAGAAAATGTTGTCATATTAAAACTTATATAAAATCTTAACATTTAAAAATGTTATGATTCCACATAAAGTTGTTTGAGAGATCCCTGTTGTGGCAAAATTAGGAAAATGTGAATTATCACACTTGCTTGATATATAAACTCATTAAACATTTTATGTGTAATACACACTGTATTATTGGTGCCATCTCATAGCTTGAGCCCAGTGGTTGGGAGACTCTCAGAAACACAAGTGTGGCTATACAGAAATAAACTATTACAGTAAAAATAAAAATTTGGGCACAGTACAGGCATACCTTGGACATACTACAGGTCCAGTTTTAGACTACCACAATAAAGTGAATATTGTAAAAAAGCAAGTCACACAATTTTTTTTGTTTCCTAGTGCATTTATTAGTTACATTTACACTGTATAAGGTGGACATAAAGTTTGTGTGCAATTTAAAATAGCTTTAACTTTAAATTGCACATGAATTTTATGTTCACCCTGGTCTATTGTCTATTAAGCAATATCATTATGCTTAAAGAAACAATGTGCATACCTTAAGTAAAAATATTTTATTCAAAAAAATGCTGATGATTATCTGAGCCTTCACCAAACTATAATCTTTTTGCTAGTGGAGAGTCTTCCCTTAATTTTGATGACTGCTGACTGATCAAGGATAGTGGTTGCTGAAGCTTGAGGTAGCATGCCAATTTTTAAAAAGAAGGTAATGATGAAGTTTGCTGCATTGATTGACTTTTCTTGTCACAAAAGATTTCTCTATTGTGTGTAATGCTGTTTGATAGCATTTTACCCACAGTAGAACTTCTTTCAAAATTCCCACTGCTTTATCAACTAAATTTATGTAATATTCTAAATCCTTTGTTATTATTTCAACAACATTCACAGCATCTTCACCAAGGGAAGATAGCATCTCAATAAACTACTTTCTTTGCTTATTAAGAAGCAACTCCTGGCTCGGCGCCTGTGGCTCGACCGGCTGAGGCGCCAGCCACGTACACCTGAGGTGGCGGGTTCGAATCCCCAGCCCGGACCCGCCAAACAACAATGACGGCTGCAACCAAGGAATGGCCGGGCGTTGTGGCGGGCGCCTGTGGTCCCAGCTACTTGGGAGGCGGGGGCAGGAGACTCGCTTGAGCCCGGGAGTTGGAGGTTGCTGTGAGCTGTAATGCCGCGGCACTCTGCCCAGGGGGACGGCTTGAGGCTCTGTCTCAAAAAAAAAAAAAAAAAAAAAAAAGAAGCAACTCCTCATCTGTTCAAGTTGTGTCAAGATTGCAGCAATTCAGTCACATCTTCATGCTCTACTTTTAACTTTGGTTGCTTTTCTATCACATCTGCATTTATACCCTGTACTAAAGTCTAAAAATCCCTCAGAGTCATCCATGAGCATTGGAATCAACTTCTTCCAAACTCCTGTTCATGTTAATATTTTGACCTCCTTTCATGCATCATGAATGTTCTTAATGACATCTAGAATGGTGAATCTTTTCTAGAAGGTTTTCAATGTACTCTGCTCAGATTCATCAGATGAATCATTGTTTATGGCAGCTATAGCTTTATGAAATATATATATTTTTCTGAGACAGAGTCTCACTGTATCACCCTGGGTAGAGTGCTGTAGCATCATAGCTCACAGCAATCTCAAACTCCTGGGGTCAAGCAATCTTCTTGCCTCGGCTTCCCAAGTAGCTAGGACTATGGGTGCCTGCTGTGACACCCACCTAGATTTTTTTCTATTTTTAATAGAGACGGGGTCTTAATCTTGCTCAGGCTGGTCTTGAAATCCTGAGTTCAAGGGATGCACCTCCCTCAGCCTCCCACAATGCTAGGATTATAGGCGTGAGCCACTGCACCCAGCTGGGAAATGTATTTCTAAAATAATAGAAATTATTATTGAAATTGAAAGAAATTGAAAGTCAAAATTATTATCTGATTCATTTGCTACAGAATTGATGTTATGTTAGCATGAATGAAAACAACATTTTTTTTTTTTTTGAGACAGTGTTCACCATGTTGTCCTCCATAGAGTACAGTGGCATCACAACTCATAGCAACCTCTAACTCTTGGGCTTAAGTGATTCTCTTGCCTCAGCCTCCCAAATAACTGGGACTATAGGAGCCCACCACAATGCCCGGCTATGTTTTTGTTGTAGTTATTGTTGTTTGGCAGGCCCGGGCTGGGTTTGAACCTGCCAGCCCCCATGTATGTGGCCGGCGCCCTGGCTGCTAAGCTATGGGCACTGAGCCAACATTAATCTTTTTGTATATCTCTATCAGAGCTTTTGGGTGACTAGGTGCATTGTCAATGATCAGTAATAATTCTAAAGGAATTTTTTTTTGAGCAGTAGGTCTCAACAGTGGGCCTAAAATATTTAGTAAACCATACTGTAATCAGGAGTGCCATCATCCAGGCTTTGTTCTATTTACAAGCATAGGCAGAGTTGATTCAGCATCATTCTCTTAGGTCCTAGGATTTTTACAATAGTAAATGAACACTGGTCACCAGTGAACTTTAATTGAACATTAAAGTCACCAGCTGCATTGGCCTGTAATAAGAAAGTCAGCCTGACCTTTGAAGCTTTAAAGCCAGGCATTGACTTCTCTGTAGCTACAAAAGTCCTAGATAGCCTCTTCTTCCAATAAAAGTCCATTTGTTCTACATTGAAAAATCTGCTGGTTAGCGTAGCCACCTTCATCAATGATCTTAGCTCACTATTCTGCATAACTTGCTGCAGGTTCAGCATTTGCTGCTTCACCTTGTACTTTTATGTTATGGAGATAGTTTTGTTTCTTAAACCCTATGAACCACATTTTGCTAGATTCCAACTTTTCTGCAGCTTCCTCACCTATCTCAGCCTTCATAGAATTGAAAGGAGTGAGGTTCTTGCTCTAGATTAAGCTTTGGCTTAAGAAAATGTTGTGACTGATTTGATCTATCCAGGCCACTAAAACTTTCTCCATGTCACCAGTTAGACTGTTTTGCTTTCTTATCTGTGTCTATTGGAGTAGCTCTTTTACTTTCTTTCAAGAACTTCTCCTTTGCTTTTGCAATTTGGTTAAGTGTTTGGCTTTTGACATGCCTTTTCTTTCTAAGTTTAATCATTCCTAGCTTTTGGTTTAAAGTGAGAGACATATCACTCCTTTTTTCACTTGAACACTTAGAGACCATAGTAAGGTAACTAATTGGCCTAATTTCAGTATTGTTGGGTGTCAAGAAGTAGACCTGTGGAGACGGCAAGAGCCTGGGAAATGGCTGATTGGTAGAGCAATCAGAATGCATACAACATTAATTGATCAAATTCCCCATCGTATGTGGGTATGGTTTGTGGTGCCTCAAGACAATCACACCATAGATCATTGATTAAAGATCACCATAGCAGATATAAAAATAATGAAAAAGGTTGAAATATTGGGAGAATCACCAGAAAGTAACACGGAAACACAGAGTGAGCATGTACTATTGAAAACATGGTACCAATAGATATACCCAACATAAGGTTGCCACAAACTGTCAGTTTGTAAAAAATGCAGTACAGGTATCTTTGAAGTGCAGTAAAGCACAATAAAGCAAGGTGTGCCTGTATTCAAAATATTTATGTTAGTTGTTCAGATAGCTTGCCTTTCCAAAAGGCAAAAAGAAAGAGCTCCTTTTTTTAAAGGACTCACTAAAGGTGGAAAGAAGGCATTTTCAGCAAAGACCAGTCTGAGATCAAGAAGATGTTAGCCTATGGTAAGCCATTTAAAAATATTGTGAGCATGGAAAACACTGACTTGCTTCTTGAGATGGGTGCTCATGATGGAAGGTAGAACTTTAAGCTCCTATTTTCCTTTGTTTTCTCTATTAAGGAATCTGATTTTCAGATTGGAAAGGGTGGAATTAATGTCACCATAAGAGAAATTGAAGCCTAAGATAGATGGGAAGAAAATTAGATAAAGAGTTGCTCCTTTAAGGAAATAATTCAAGTCTCTTCCTTGTGAGCAAATTGGATTTTGAGTACTGAGAGTGCTCCCATGTGAGATTCATGAAGCACTCTCATTAACTATTGAAGAATTGTGATGAATATCAGGAAATATGCCCAGAACCAAAAATGAAAAAACAATCAAATTTTCAAAAAAGGGAAAAAGCTATATTCTGGTGAGCGTTGTATTGATATTGACCTGAGTCAATTAAAAGAATGATCTGTGAATTTAAAAAAGGTAATATTCAGGATAATCTCTGGAAAAACAAATCTTGGCCTTTCTTAGTTTCATTTACATTAAAAAACATTTTTTAATTTTTGTTGTAAAAAGAATTAAATATACCTTTCCTAGAAATAAAATATTATTTTGTATTGGCATATCAACCTTTTCTTTGTGTATGTTGTTTTCTTTTTTAAAGGCTATTGAATTTATGGAAACTTTTGTATTTGCTATTAAACTTCAAAGTCTACAAACTGTAAGACTTGTGTTTAAGATTCAAATGCAGACTCCCAGGAAGAAAACCATTGGAGAATGCTCACTATCACTCAGAACTCTTAGCACTCAGGAAATGGATTACTCTTTGGATATAATACCACCTTCAAAAATTTCTGTAAGTGATAATAGAGTGTTAAAAGTATTTCAGACTTTTGGAGTTATTTAGTGGTTGGGTTTGTATACTTGTTTGATGGAGGATAACTTGACCTCTATAAAATATTAGAGGACCTTGGAGGCTCTCAGTAAACAATAACAATTCCATTTCATTCAAAAATGGTATTTGCCAGGGTGCAGAGGCTCATGCCTATCATCCCAGGGAAAATGAAGAAAGAGGACTGCCTGAGGCTAAGCTAGGTGTCAAGCCTGCCTTGACCTATGATCATGCCATTGCACTCTAGCCTGGGTGACAGAGTGAAATCCCATCTCTTAAAAAATTTTTTAAAAAAGAAAATTTTTAGAAATAATTGATATATGTTAATAGACTGTTTTTCTTTCTTCATTGGAAAATAACCTCAGGGTTACTTTCCCCTAGGACATCTTTAATAATATTTTATACTCTAGGAGAAATAACCATGAAGTACAAATAATTTAAATTATTACTTGTTTTTAGTTTGTTTAGTAGTTGATAACTTTAAAAACAAGAAAGAATCATAAATTGCAAACTCAACCAGAGACTTCCCTGAAATAGATTTAGGAAAGTTGTTTTAATCATGAGTAAGCTGTGTATGTGCTTATAAATTGGTTAGAGTGAAAGTTTTTACAGCTAATATTTTTTGCAAAAAACTTGATTTACCCATAGTGCTGATTGATTTTTGAGACCTGATATTTATCTCAATTAACCAGCTAATTGTCTTTAAATTGTTTATAGATTTCTAACAATTTACATAATTTCTATATTGGGATAACATAAATAAGATCAGTCATAAGCTTTTATAAGTTATCACAGCCTACATGTGATGTTAAATTTATGTAAGATTTTAATTTTACCTGTTTCCAAAAATATTTAAGGTGACTTAAATAAGTGCTTCTTAACCCTGGACCACACATTAGAATATCTGGGAGCTTGAAAAAAATGCCCACAACCTAAACCAATAAAATTAAAATTGGGGGAGGGTATGGGGCAGAGCAGTTAAACAGTTTTCAAAAGCTCCCCAGGTGATTCTACTGGTTTGAGAGCCATCAAATTGGAGGTAAGGAGTAAAAAATAAAGATTATTATAACTGATATGAAGAATTGAATTTTCTTGGTAGTTATTTCTTACCTTTTATTCCTTATCTCATCCCCCAATGTGTAGTCTTTATATATAGAATTTATTACATCTCTTAATAATTTAAGTTGTATTAAACAAAGCAAAACTAGGCTCAAGCTTCCATCTGTTTTCTTCATATTTTACTGTGCTCTTAACATATTGTTGGCACTAAATATTTGTATGTAGTAGGTAAGTATGAAAGAATAAAGGCTGAATAAAAACATGTCAAATAATGTTATTTTTTGTTAAAAGATAGCAAATTTGTTCTCTATGACAGGACTTTGTCAGTGGCATCTTTGACACTAGCTTAGTTGATAGTACTCTGCAATCGTGTTTTATAGCAAGCACAAATGTATTATTCAAATGAATAATTCATGTATTAAAAATTTAAAGACAGAGTATATCAGAAGAGAACTTAATGACAGCTTAATGACAGTATTTTGTGGGGAATTGAGACTTTGCTATCTGCCTTGGAGATTGTGAATGCATGATTATGGTTAAATTTCTATGAAATCGTATTTCATATAGTAGAGGTCTTGTCAACATTTGCATATCAGCTGTATACCGGGTCCTAGGGATACAAATATTGATGCCCTGAAAGAGTTTGGGTTATGCTGGACAAATGAATTTATGTTACTAGATGTGAATATTTCATAGTACTGGCTAAAGCAAGAAAAATAGGCTTTGTTTCATGTGTTGAAAAGGAAAATAGATTTTTTTTTTAATTTTTAGAAAAACATTCTTTATTATAAAAGCAATTTCAGAAAATTGGAAAAAGTGACTCCTATATCAGATGTGCAGACATCAACAGAAGGATGCAGAAAATATGAAAAAGCAAGGAAATCCACAATTGTATAACAAGAGATCCTAACCAAAAATAATTCCTCAGAATTCCACATGGAGAATTTAAAATATTAATTTTGAAGAAGTTCAATGAGATTCAAGAAAAATCAGAAAACAAATATTAAGATATAAATGAGAAATTTACCAACGAGTCAGAATACAGTGGCTCATGCCTGTAATTTCAGTACTCTGGGAGGCTGAGGCAGGTAGGTTTCTTGAGGTCAGGAGTTTGAGACCAGCCTGAAGAAGAGTGAGACTCCATCTTTACTAAAAAGTTTTTAAAAACTAGCTGGGTATCATGGTGGGCATCTATAGTGCCAGCTACTCCAGAGACTGAGGCAAGAGGATCTCCCAAGCCCAAGAGACTGAGGTTGTTGTGAGCTAGGATGCCACAGCACTCTATTCAGGGTGACAGAGTGAGACTTTGTCTCAAAAAAAAAAATTTACCAAGGAAATAGGTATCTTAAAAAAAAGATAACAGAGATTCTGGAAGTAAAAAATTTATTAAAAGAAATACAGAATATATTTACAAAGATTCAATAGTAGACTAGACTAAGCAAAGGAAAGGATCTCAGAGCTTGAAAGCAGGTCTTTTGATGTAATCCAATCAGGCAAAAAAATAAGAAAAAAAGAATAAAAGAGTGAATAAACCCTTCAAGAATCTCTTGAACAAACTTGCAAATTATAAATATTCCTGAGGGTGAAGAGAAGTTTAAAAAAGTTTAGAAAATCTAGTTAAGAAAATAATTAATGAAAATATTCCAGGTTTATTTATTTTTTATTTTATTTTTTTCACTGTTAGTAGCTTAGAGTATATTCTTTCAGGCATTTATGTGTACAGATTGGTAACACATAAAGAGACATAATATATACATACATGCCCATTTCTAAAAATGGAAAAAATATTGTATATCCTTCTTACCTTTTTATTTTTTAATTTACAAAATATCTTATAACTTTAATTTTTATTTGACATTTTGTAGACTTGTCAGAAGCAAATAAATATTTAAATAAAGCAATTTCAATTACTGAATAATATTGCATTTTATGATGGTACTATATATAATACATCTCTGAACGTACATAATACGTCTTTTTTTTTTGGATATTTATTTTAGTTTGCTTATTTTTTCTACTCTTTTGCTGTTATAGAAATGTTTTGCTGGACATCACCTGTGGCTCAGTGAGTAGGGCACTCGCCCCGTATACTGAGGGTGGTGGGTTTAAACCTGGCCCTGGCCAAACTGCAACAAAAAATAGCCGGGCACTGTGGTGGATGCCTGTAGTCCCAGCTACTCAGGAGGCTGAGGCAGGAGAATCGCCTAAGCCCAGGAGTTGGAGGTTGCTGTGAGCTGTGACTCCACAGCACTGTACCAAAGGCAATAAAGTGAGACTCTGTCTGTAAAAAAAAAAAAAAGAAAGAAAAGAAAGAAAAGAAAAAGAAGTGTTTTGCTGAGACAATTATTCTTTTAGAATTAGTTCTAAAATAAATTTACTTTATAATAGTCTTAATATATTATTAATGGATAACAAGTTACAAAATTACAGTGACATAAGAAGTAGGAAATGAATACCGCTATTAAACCCAAGAACTTATGAGACCATCAACAAATATACAAAATTCTAGTAATTGAGAATAAGAAAAACACATTCATTATTATGAAGGACAAATGAGACATAATATAGAAAAGGCAGAAATTATTTAAGTAGTAAAAAACTATAATCCCAAAAGACAAACTGCAGATGAACAAAAAGATGGCAGTAATCATACCATCTAGAGATAAAGTAGCAGACTGGGAAGGAATTGAGAGACTTCCTCTGCTAAAACCAAAAGAATATTCTAGAAGAGGGGAAAGGTAAAACATGTTAAGAGCTCATTTAGCAGACAACTGTGCTGGAGATTGCTATCTAAAACCTCAAGATGAGACCTGAAAAATAGGAGACCTGGGAGTACGTCACAGCCAGCATCAAAAAAATCCATTTTCCTGGACACCAGGAGGGTTTCCTCTGATGCCTACACCAGAGACCAGAGGCATTCAGGATGCAATTTTCATAGACCACAGCTATACAAAAATACAGTTCTAATGTTCACCAGATTGCAAAAGATATATGTTGATGTTATTTGCTGCTAAGCTAATGTCTTTTTACAACACTACATTAAGATATGTAAGTTTAGAGTACTGGGCTGTTCATGGCGTATATTGTCTATGTGAGATTTCATGCTCAATAGCTCACGATCACATCAACACTATCACCAGCTTTGTATGTTAACAAGGAGCCAGAGTAATTTCTTTTTTTTTTGGAGACAGAGTCTCACTTTGTCGCCCTCAGTAGAGAGCTGTGGCATCACAGCTCACAGCAACCTCCAGCTCTTGGCTCAGCCTCCCAGGTAGCTGGGACTGCAGGTGCCTGCCACAACGCCCAGCTAATTTTGCAGTTTGGCCAGGGGTGGGTTTGAACCTGCCACCCTTGGTATATGGGGCCAGAGCCTTATTCACTGAACCACAGGCACTGCCCAAGCCAAAGTAATTTCTAATAAAAAAGTTGAAATTATAATCACAACTATTTATTTATTTATTGCATGTTATTCTTAATTTATATGAAGATAAAAATATTTTTTGTTTTATCAGTATGTATATACAACAACACGGAGGAGTTACATAACACTAAAGATCACCTCTTATTGTTCTTTTGTTTGTTTGTTTTTATTAAATCATAACTGTGTACATTGATGTATTTATGGGGTTCAATGTACTGATTTGATATACAATGTGAAATGCTTATATTGAACTAAATAATACACCCATCATAATTATATTCTTTTCTTAATAGTTTTGAAATGTGCCATTGCATAATGCACCTTAGGTGAGGTCCCCCCAAATGCCCTCCGCCTCTCTCCTCTTCCCTTCTACTTTCTGGACTATTGTTATGTTTTATCATTCATGTGAATGTATAGGTGATTACATATTGATTTCATAGTAGTATTGAGTACATTGGATACTTTTTTCCCCCATTCTTAAGAT